TACGGCGTTTGCTATTAGGAAAATTATAACTTTATAATAAGCATACTTTGAACAATTCGTGTTTGTCAATGATACACAACAAATTCAAAAAGAACAATACAAGAATTAAGTTTGTTTTTGTAGAAAGCGTTGCTGCAGTGTTGAGGATTTGTGTTGACTTGAACTTGATTAATCTCTGATGAGTTCCTTTCAACATATAATTGAAACGTCTAAAGAATTGTTGAGGACTTCTCTATTTTGGAACAAGCTGGCACCAAAATCATTTCGATTAAATTACCCCTTGAGTGCTAGAATAATTACCGACATCTCTGACAGTTTTTATATTTTCAATTTTTATTTTCAATAAAACCTAAATATATGACGAAATAAATGAATAATTTCTTTTTACTGGCATTTTCATTAATTAAGGAGTTTTATGCTTCAAGGATTTAAATTTTTCATGTTTACTATGAATGCAAGATATGCAACAATGAAATTTTAACATCTTTGATTAAAACTGATAAAACTCAAAACATATAGTTTGTTATGGAATGGCAAAGTTACAATATTATGCAACGCTGAAATGAATGCCTCAAAATTTAGCTAGTACAAGATAGGAACAACTTTATTAAACTTCAACATTGTCTACGTGCTTTGTTTAAATTTTATATAATGAAAAATTGTGCGTCAAGTTGTTAGGCAACAAGTATTCCATTGATTATTCATCCTAGGAAGTAATTCTCACCATTCGTGGTAGCCCACATTAAGACAAAACCGGATTATAACCCATAATAAATAACATAGTTAAATACATTTGAAATTCAATCGCCTAGTTTCACTGTGTATATTACTTCTTAAATTTTAAAAATAATTACACAAGCCTATTATTGACATTTTTCTTACGAATCCCGCTGCAATTACTTTTCAATCGTCTTAAAGTAAATGGCCTAACGGAACACACAGCGCGTTTCAAAGCAAACAACACTGAAATGATTCAAACAGAAGCTGATAATATAAATCTGTTAGGTACAAAAAAGGTTAAAGGTTCATTCCAATGTCGTGTATCTTTACAATCTTTTTTATTAATGTATATATAAGGCACCGTGTCTATTAACATGCATCGGTATTGTCACAATCATAAGAATTCGGGTTTTACATTTATTTATCATAAAGACTATTTAAAAGATATATAATGAGATATGACATCATATTTATAGTTGTACAACAACATACAAATGTATATGTAATTGCATCGAGAATGATATCAACTGATCTGCTTAGATTATGGATGTGAAGTGTCAAATTTTGGTTCTACTGAGATTTTATTAATATTCCGAGCATTTGGAAACTGACAATGTTGAAAATATATTTAATTTGCTGTGATATTCTGATTTGCAAGGCATCTATTTGCTTGTCACTTGACATTTTGCACTATCTAGACTTGCTGCACAATCTCAGCTTGCTGCAGTACCTGGTTTTGTTGCAGCACTACCTGGACTTGCTGACTTTGTTTCCCGATTGTTTTGCTACATCACTGTACTTGCATAATTACCAATACTTGCTGTACAACATGAACTTGCTGCAATATTGGGCTATTCTTTAATTGTTACAATACCTAGACTGCACTACCTTAAGTGCTGCACTACCTCGACTTGCTGCAGTAGTCGACTTGTTGAAATATCTGGATTTTCTTTACTATCAAGACTTGCTGCATTACTTTAGTTTGCAGCAGTAGCTGGACTTACTGCACTACCTGGACTTCCTGCAATACCTATACGTGCTGAATTATCTGAAGTTGCGGCAAAAACCTGAACTTACTTAAATATAAAAATCTGGAAACAAAGTGATCCCTTGGAAGCATTAATCACAACAAAATTACAAGAGAATTGCAGACTCGGTTTGATTGAGTCTGTACATGAGAGATAATGAATACATGCAACATCCCTCACGCCCCCTAGCAACGGCTTGAGCTGTACTCAATTCTCAACATTTAATAGTGCTGGCATCAATGATCCCGAAGGACCAGAAAAATATAACAACACTGAAGTGAAGTACGACTTGGTTTTTCTGCATTTTTGGACCTGTTGTACGCCTATCTGCGTCACTTTAAAGCAGACTTGTACTAAGTCATGCTTCTTTCCAGGGAAGCAGACCTTTTTTAAGTCTTGATTATTACCTGTGAAGCGGACCTCTCTAAGTCTTTTTTCTGGGATGATGACTGTTGCGAATGTTCAATTCATATTTAAAAGCGGACTGTTTCCTAAACTTGCTGCGTTATCCGATTTGTTCACTCGAGCTTTGCCCTATAGACTTTCTCACAAATGGGAGATTTTGTGAAAGTCAAACCTGCAAAATCGACATTTCTTAATTCTTCATTTATTTCCAAATTCATACCTTTGGTCTAAAATCATATAAAATATGTCAATATACAGTATATTGCTGAACATGTATGCTCACTAAAGCAATACTTTATTTGTAATTTAACAGCTTCGAGAATTAATATTGGTATCTAAATATATCCCTCATGTTTCAAATATATTACACTGAAATAAAATATTTTCATACTCGTAGCACTTGATTTCGGCAGTTTCTGGACAAAGCTATCATTTCCAATATCTGGGGAAATTACAAGCCAATCAGAATTTGTGAAAATTTAGAGCAAGATTCAAAAGTATAATCATTTAACTATTGGGTTATTTGGTTCGAATTGCTCTTTATTGAATATCAAATGTAATTCTTGGCATGGGACATCTATTTACCAAGCATAACTTTTACTCCTTTTTTATAGCAAATATCAAAATAACTGTGAAAAGAGATTCTGTAATAAAGTGTGTTACTAATGTGCGTGAAATACAATTTTCTAGACAAGTAATTTCAATATATCACATTTGTATTTATTGAAATCTTTTATATATTTAACCTGGTATCCTTTGTTAACATGAAAAGTTTTACACGTTTGAATTATCCCTCATGCACAGAATCAATCAAAGCGGGTCTGCAATTATCATGTTATTTTGTTGATTTAATGCTTCAAAAGGATAACTTTTTTCCAGGTATTAATCCGAATCTACGATGGGTTGAAGGACATAAACTGTGCAGTTGAGTGGTGTTCAGATACTTTAACTATAAAAACAGCCAAGCTTTCTCAGGTTTTGTTACAGGTTATAAAAAGATAATATTTTTCTAAGGAACAAGTGATTCTGTCTTTGATGATACTGATGTTATTGTAATTGACATGGATAGCTGGTTTTGGGAATGACAGTTAAATTGGTATAAAGTTAAATAGGCCTCAAGTTAAAACGGCCAAAAATATGATAAATCGGTCTAAAAAAAGATGGCTTCATAGGTACGTTTCATATTCATTTTGGAACCAAACTGACAATGTTCAGTCACTTCGTTTCTCAAACAGTCTCTCGCAGATCATTGGATCGATTAGATATGTGTCATATTTTAAGTATGCATCGTAAATGATTGACACATAGAATATTTACTTTGTCATAAATAATCTTAATCAATTTTTTAATTCGACAGCGTACATAACCGAAATGCAGGTCTATATACAATGTGTTTTTCTTTCAAAATAATGATTACGCTTCTTTAATTCAATTGTAAAGTTTTGTTGTAAAATAAATTATCTTCAACATAAAAGTGATAAGACCACCTGTCCTGTACATAAGTATATTGAAAAGATATGTAGGCATCGACGACAGGTTAAGCATATTTTTATAACAGCCAACAAGCGGTCGAGTAGTTAAGGTCGTTAACTTCAAATCACTTCCCTATATTGTGTTGATGGAACGTAAAATATGATAAACAAGATCATCAAGGAAAGGCAGGCCCCCAGTAACAAGAGTCGGTGGCATGGAGCCCAGGAGGACCCCAAACAAAAACAGGGAAAGGCATAAGGCAGAGTACGAGCAGGCAAACCACTACCTAAGAATAAATAATTAAAATAAAAGATACTCATCAGTCAATAAAACGGTATATCTGTCTTTATAAGCATCTATTAACATGTATTCATCCTTTGGGTTAACTGTCTTTAAAATGTCATTTCGTATACGGATTGAACTTTTTGCTTTTGTTTTCTTTAGATGAGTTTGTACGAAAAACATTTATTAATTTGATTTTTTTACTTCGTGCTATTAGACAGAAATCAAGAATACAAACAGTCTTATCAAGACGTTTAACAATAGCTTATCTAGTTTATTGCCATAACTTTCATTGTTGGTCCAATATTATACAAATAGCCCTTGTTCTTAGTACAACTTGGTAAATCATTACCTTAACAATCAGATAAATGTCGTGAAACACACTCTACAGTTAGTCACATTGTAAACAAAAATTTGCTGCGTGCATAATTAATCTCTTAAGATAAGACGTACAAATAGATAAAACAGATAAAACACCTTAAAGGCAAATTAAGCCAATTTATGAAAAATATTTAAACTGTGGTGTCCTCCTATAGTTTCCAAAAGTTTATTCTATGGTCATATATCTGAGCTATGCGTTTTAGCAACAGTAAAAGTGATTTGGTACTTAGTGTTTTGTATTGAAGTCAAATATTTTGTTCTAGAACATTTAGTTATCGACTATATTAATGTAAGTAGTATCGGACCGTTTATCTCGCACTTGCCAACAACATCCATATAAAATTCTTTCGTGTCATATGCAATATATAATACCATCAACTCAACATAATAACTTATTGTATTACAAACCTTCAATTATAGACCAGTTACCTTTAAAGAGACTCACTGTGTCCAAAAAGCCTAAAAACATAAAAATGTATTTCTTACAACTGGGACACTTACAACAGACGTATATGCAAAAGATGTATAAGAAATATAAAAGAAATCAATTGAAAAATATAAAAAAAACAAGATCAACAAGGAAAGGCAGCGTTCAATGAATCCAAACACCACACGACCAGGCAACAAACGAGTGTGCTATTTTAGCCGTATTGAAAGCAGCATGCTTATTTCCATGAAAATATTGGAAATTTATCTATACGTAAAATATAGTAAAGTGAACAAAGATATTAATTTAATTTGCAAAAGAAATTTACAATTCACGTATATTAGAGGTCACAATATGCAAAAATAGCCCTTATTGCATTAGTAGCGCAACAGAAAAATTGTAATTAATACTGCAAGATCGACCTTTACTCGCACTACTTGTAAATTATTACTGCAATCTCTTTACTTTTCTTAACATTTTAGTACAGTTTTCTCAAGGTTTTATTTTCTTGAAGTATGCAACTTTAGTGAAAAGTGCTTCAATATTTAAGGTCATTTTCTACAATTAGCATAATAATTCTGGACAAAAAAAGTTATTGGTTTAGACCTATATTAAATGGGACTTAAATCTTGAAAAATAGTTCCAGTCCCGTCATATCAAAATTCCACTTTAAAGTGACAACATATTTATGATCGCATATAAATAGATTTTCGCCTTAAGAAAGTACCATTCTGTTTTAGCACAATTTACGATGATCCGTTTAGAAGAAATGCCTATTCATTTTAAAAACGAAAAGAAATGTGTGTCAACGAAATGTAAGTGATAAATATGCCACATCAGTGTTTCTCGTTCATTGTGCTTATTACAGATGACTTATTTGTCTGACAAGTATGTTGTAATGGAATACGTCTCGTATTGTTAATTATAATGACAAATACGTAATAGAATATGTCTGGTATTCCTTTTTAGAAATAAAAATGTTGCCTGGTTTCTGCATCCTTCGGCCAACAGAAGAGAGACGTTTCAAAAAATTATGAAAAACTTTTGAAATGACATTAACTGAATTTGATTCCTTTCCTTTCCTTTATTTCCTTGGCCTTACATATGCTTAAATATAATCTAACAAATAGTTAGGCTGCTATATTATTCTTATTTCAAAATAGATTCCTAGCACAGTTTCATTTCAATCAATATATAATTTGTTTGTAATAGTGTTATCACATTTCAAAATGCAGAACAAATCTTTATAATATAACTTTATTCCAGGAATTCCAAGTCTTGTAAATTTGTAAAAAAAGTCTTCGGAAACATGCAACACAATACCTGTTTACTTTTAATATTGATACGATAAATCAATAGAGATACTCTTTATATTAAGTGTTTGAAATACATCAATGAAACGTGTAAATTATTACATGAATTGTAAATATTCTAATTTACTTTTTTATTAAGTGTTTGAAATACATCACTGAAACGTGTAAATTATTACATGAATTGTAAATATTCTAATTTACTTTTTTATTAAGTGTTTGAAATTCATCACTGAAACGTGTAAATTATTACATAAATTGTAAATATTCTAATTTACTTTTTTATTAAGTGTTTGAAATACATCACTGAAACGTGTAAATTATTACTTGAATTGTAAATATTCTAATCTACTTTTCTTTTTATTTACGTGCATTTTACTGAAAATTGATTTTCTTGCATATTTTTCGGCTCATTTGGAGGTACATGTATGCAGCTTCGAAATTTCATATGGCCGTGTATTAATGATCCTTTTTGATACAACTGGAGGAGCGGATCATGTTGTATTAGCTTATTGACGTTTGAACTGGGCCATGTAACCTTTCAAAACTCATTTTAACTAAAAACATATTAACTAAAATGATTATCATCTTATATTTTGACAAGTGATTTTAGCATAGTTATTTGGATTTTTTACAAATAACGACCAACTATTATATATATTTTAGGAAAAGGTTAAGCCTAGAAAAGAACAGCATAATCCTAAACAAACACATCAATTCGGAAATTGAAGGGTGAACAAACACTATATGATTTTATAAAAGGAAAATCGATTTCAATATTAAATGAGAAATTACTAAATAATAATTCAGATATTTCCACACACTTCAAACGTTTTTGAAAGTCAATGTCCAGTAGAGGATTATAATGTCTTTTATAAGTTGTTTCTGTTTCAAAAGTACTTTCATCAAATAACCTCTAAATTGTGACGTAAAATTTTGTTTCCTGTAGTAAGTGTTTTATTCTATCATTAGATTCTTCAACTTTAATTCTTTCCATACGCGTTCAACATTGTTGATAAGCACGTCTTCAAATTTGTCGAGGACTGTAGTATCTTTAACCCTTTGCTGTTTATCCTCGTAATTCTCCCAGTTTCTATAGTGGTGGAGCAAACCTATTTGTTGAGCAACTTTAACAACACGTGCATTGGGGATTTCATGTATAAGGATATAATTGACACGTGATGGCCGAACAAAATACTTTGAACGGTCCATGTGGCGATATATCTTTGTCTCGTGATCAAAATGTTTCAAGGTTATTAACTTTAGTTGTTTGGCCTTTGTCTTTCCTTTGAATTCTACCTCATCATTTGTCCATTCTTTTCTGAAAAAGGTATTTTTGAAAATGAATCCATCCGCCGATTGGTCAAGATCTTTCAGCATTTGAGTCCAGTTGAAAGCATTCCCCGAATGAGGAATAATGTATTCATCCAAGTCGATATTTGACATAAATTCTGAGATTTGCTTAGTCCTGAAAAGACAGTCATTCAGTGCAACAGTTTGACCAAAGTAATGAATGTGATGTTGAACCGGAAACGGAAGTCTCCATGGAATAATTTCTGAGAAATTGCGTTCCGAATAGAATTTCAAAATATTTTTCACATCTTCCGATATTGAATAATCATAAACGATAATTTTGTCGACACCAAGAATTCGATTGAGTTCTACCCATTCGATGAATTCATGAGCACTTCTGTAGCTGAATATTGGCGCCAAACAAACCGTAAAGTGCCGTTGGTAAGTGTCGACTTTTGAGGCATTTTTTATACTCAGGAGATTCAAAGCGTTTTGACACGGATGTGTTGCCAGTGAAACAAATGATGGCGTATCATTACCATTTAATTTACATTCAAACGTCACTGCAGTATACCTGTAAGAGAATAATAAATTGTTGTATATTTATATACAACGTGGTAACATGTGATATGAATTTGAAAAGAAAAAACACTTCCTAGCGGACACAATATCAGATTTAACTAAAAAGTTACGAAATAAGTAAATGTAAAAAGGATTAATCAAATTTAAGAAAACCCAAGGAGAACATTAACTTAATGCGATTCCATTTTGGAAAAGGCCACTACCGGGAGAAATTAGTTGTCGCGTCTTCATCGCTTGATGTCATTCTTATTTTACAACTGTTAGAAAAAATATATGAATATACAATGGTCAATAATTTGCAAACCTTTTATACGTAAAAGCACGTTATGCGTCAGAAACGAATATAGCATTCCTCCTAAGAAAAGGTCGAACATGATTAAAATAACCTTTAAATAACGGTTTTAGAGAATATCATGTCAGATATCAAAGTATCGCTGAATGTGAAATTATTTGTCATAGAAAATAAAATATAAATATGAAATAGTATTTCAACTTCCATACAAAATACAGAATCACTACAACCGTTCTTATTAACAACTAGCAACAAAAGCAAACGACGGGTCGAGTAACTGGCCGATGAGTTACTTTGAAACTAAAACGGGACACTTAAAATAAGAAAGCTTTTAACAAGTAAGAATAAAGGTATTCATGGGGCATAATGGGCCTTTAAGCATGTTTAATATGATAGATAATGGTATGTTGGGATGTGTAATATTACAAATAACGTTACGTTTATTTCTTCCATATATTGTTAGAAAAGAAGTTCACTCTTTACTAGATGATTCACAAACTTAATTGTCGAAACCGAAACGTTCGGCAGTCTAAAAGACAATTAATATTTTTCGTAGTGTTGCAGTTGCTTAAAACACTTAAGTGTGTGTTTTTAGTTTACTTATGCTCGCCACCGGTTGCCCATATGAGTCCCTCAGATGAGTATAGGTCATTTTAGATTTTGGAGGATAGTGCAAGATACATATACAGAGAGAAGGCCCAATTCAATAAGCTTCTCCTGGTTCATAAGCGTGTCCAGTGTTTAAGCACTCAAATACTGGACCTCAATTTAAAGTCTCATCAAAAATACTGATTAGTAATCAGTTCGCCAGTCCGGGAATTGAACTCACAACGCCGAGATTACAAGTCTATGCATGGTATTTATGTATAATATACTAGAATTCAGTATAATACTCAAAAATGTATAATGAAACTACTATATCAAACGTGTAAGATACAAAAGATACTATAACATGGGTGTATTATTGCTTTAGGTATTTTGTAACATTATAATACAAGATGATACTTAATGAGTGTATTATTTTGATAGGTTGTGTTGATTTTGTAAACAAATACAGCATGTGTATGTTATTCTGAATCGTTGTATATATTTTCATGAGATATCGGATGTATCGCTTGTGTTGATTTGTGAGATAATATTATAAGAGTGTAATATTCTGATCGGTTGTATCGCTTTCGTTAATTTGTGAGATAGTATTGTATGAGCGAATTAATCTGATCGGTTGTTTCGCTTGGGTTGATTTTCTAAGATAATTTCACATGAGTTATCGGTTGGTATAGCTTGGGCTTATTTGTAAGATGATATTACACGATCGGATGTATCGCGTGAGTTGTAATCCCAAAAACTCGAATTGTCAAACGATGGAACACAGCTCTACGAAATTAAGTCCAAGTATTCATGAATTGTGTGCGCAAAATTCAATATTATTACATTAATGTTTTCTGAGACAACTTAAACTTAGATAGTAACGATTCAAATAAGCGTAATTTACTATAATAACGCTTGTGCTGATATGCTACGCTTATTTCCTTGGGTGGGCTTTTAAATATGGACAAAATCATTCAACATTTTATGGAAATGTACTACTTACTGAATGAATATACTATCTGAATAAGATAAAAGGTGCAGTCAGTGATGAAATGGTATGGATGTTCGAGCTTATATTGGTTTGCGTTGGTTGCATGAGTAGAATACGTTACCGTCAGCAGATTAAAGGTTTAAGACCCATTATGTCCAAGTAACTTTTTTATTTATATTCCTGAAAAGATTTTATTTTTTTTGATGTCCTATGATATTTTCCAAAAAGTGTCTTATTGACAAGTTTCTTAAATCGGATTTATGCTTATTTTGAAAGTAAAATAGTGTTAAGTGAACAAAGAGTGTAATTAACACATTGCAAACGGCACCTTAAATATTTTTTCTTTCTTAAAATCTTAGTACATTTTGCTTACGGTTGATTTCCTCGAAACAGGTTTGGCTCATCTGAAGGCATTCAGCTTTAAAATGAACTAGTAATTTTATGGAAATAAAAATACTACTTTGTTAACTTTGTTAACTACTTTGTTTTCTTTCGATCTTTATGACAAAAAAAATCAGAGCTACTTTCTACTCTGAAACGTTTATATAAACGTTATAAAACTTATGTTGCCCGTTCTAAAGAATGATAATATTCGTTTATAAGCCATAATAAGTCTTTAATGTTAATATTTTATTATATAACTAATATAGTTCAAATGATATGGTATAAAGTATTTACGGTGATGGTCCGGCCGGGTCGTTTGGTGTTCCGACAATAGCATCAGTTTCCCGCATTTTTATTTCACCAGTTACGTCCTGTATTGTCCACAGTTGGCAAATAACAGTGACTTTATGCATTGGTTTTGCACCAATGATAAATAGCTTTTTCTCAGTATTAATATAATATGCTGAAATAACAAACATTGTCAAAGATTTGTCTATCGGTTGCCAAGACCCATCTTGGCCGATCTGTGTTTTATCTAGTTTTCCTCGACAAACTCCGTTAACCAAAGAATTATCCAATACAGGCCGTTTAACTTTGTCTCCGGGAACTGCTGTATTATCGAACCAAGCATCACTTGAGGCTTTTCTAATCAAACTTTTAAACGGTATATCAAATACAGAATTTAAAATAACATTGTAAACTTTGAAGTTACTAGCAACTAATACGAATATTATTAAAACCACGAGAACTAATATCCACACTGTCTTACGTTTCATAAACCGGTATTTTTTAGAAAACATTTTGTGATATGCCTGTCTGTTCTGAATGTTTATGTTTCAGTCATTCAAAACATACACAATTTTTAAAGTTTAAACCACATGCATATTACAACCAACTCCAAGATAAAGATACTCGTGCCCTAGTTTCTTTAATTTGTCCTTATATAATGATAAAGCCAACTATATATATCGTGGCTAAAGCACATTCATTAAATTTACTTTAGGTTATCAATTAAACAATGAATAGTTTACAATAATCTATTTTCCGACAATGTTTCGAATGTTTGTTTCTAATTATGCAAACGTGCAATTATGCAGATAAATACACAGTTTTAGTTTAAGTGAAAATAAATTAAACACGTTCTACGTACATTGCACTTATCATTCACTCCTTAATGTTTGAATTATTTATCTCAAGGGTTTTATGTGTACAAGGAAATCCTTTACGAAGATAACACTTTTAAAGGAACAACCTCATCCATGATAAACCACATATTCACTTTATTACAGTTTGACATAGTTAATTTGACATTGTCAATTGTTCTGTTTCATAGTAGAAGGCTTTTAAATTCATCGGCGCGGAGAGTGTGTTTAATTTTTTGTTTTGTAATTAGTCTTTTACAGATTATATTTGGTGGGTCGGGGTAAGGGTTACCTGGAACCACTGTATCTTGCGTTATCCTCTTTTGGTTTATTCCAATTTAACTCGGAAAACAATAATATGGAAAAAAAACAAGAACAATGAGCGCATCCCCCAACAAGAACAACCGGAATGGGGCCCAGCTGAACAAATCCAAAATCGTTGTATATGAATAAAACGAGTTAAAATTTAGAAATAAATGATATATTTGATGTCACGTGTTTATTGCTTTTACATTTTTTTAACTTACTGTAGTCTGAAGTAATCTCAACGGACAAAGAAATTACATACAAATTCAAACGCGCTTGTTTATCTCAATCAACTACGTGTGGCCTATATCGTTTAAAAATGAGTTAGAGATAACGATTGTTTTGTATTCGTAGCAGTACATTGTATATTGTATTATTATCATCATCATTATCATTTCTTGTATTGATGTAAGCTCTATTTTTCACGTTATTTTCAAAGGCTAAAATAATTTATTCTCAATGCAAATTACTTAAATGATTGTATCTATATTACATATGATTATGTTTTATCAATAAAAAAACAATCACAGGAAAAATAAGACATCAAAGCGAAGTAAGTAATAGAAAGATCATCGAAACACGAGGCTATCTGATTTGTTCGAGGTGGCCTAGCCCCCGAGTATAAATCAGATTGTCGAGTGTTTTGATGTTCTTTCGTCAAACATAAAAACGCGTTTCCTGTTGTCACAATATGAAACCCCAGAAAAAAGTAACCAATGAAAGAGCTTCTGAATATTGATCTATTCCTATGGTCCATGATTTTTCATCGTAGCACCGTTACTTTTCCCGACATTTATAGTACAAGATTTTCTTTGAAAAGTATGAATCATTGGAATATGAAAATATGTGCATGGTATATGTTTATAATTTAAATATTGAAATATATAAACAATAACAGATGGCCCAATGTCAAACATGGCACGTGATAAATCACCTCTCCTATTGTATAACCACAAATTTTCGTAAGTAATTATCATCTTTATTATTAGCCGATGTATTCCGAAAGAAGTCACATGACAACAAACTTCGTAACAAATGATGTTATGCTGCTTATTGCGTTTGCTTGGTTTTCTTCGTCCTCTTCATTATTACTTTCACCGTTAATTTTGATCATTTCAATATATATTATAGTCTTCTAACTAGAATTGTAAATTACGGTTAATAACTTGGTGGAAATTGTCTCGTTTTGGAAATGTTCACAGGATAAAAAGTGATTTATTGCTGTGAGATCAATTAAAGATCAACACACATAGGGGTAATCAAATTTCCTGCCTTTCAATTTAATAAAAATTTGGCCAAATCTCGATTCTTATCTTGTATGACCTAAATACACACAAAAACAATATCCATGAGGATCATCCACAAATATTTTTTCCATTTAATTTAATGTCACTTTCTTTTCTGACTAAATACATATTGAATCAACACAATCGTGCTATCGTGTTTTTGTTTTTATTATTTGTTATGATTAGTAAATGAAATAAATGTTGATGTCGGATGGCGACATGGCCGATTGACCGTGTGTGTTCAAACTCCGTCAGGGACAAGACGTTCTTTCTGTGCGCCAGCAATTTTACACTCAATGCTTAGTACTAATTGGTTCCGGGAACTGATTCGAGAGTGTTTCAATAAGATTATAGTTTTCAACGCAATCGAACGAAAATAAATTCGTATTTAAATAAATGTTGATGGTATACCATTTGAATGAATGCAAAAGTCTGACCGCTTAACGCAATGGGAAGAGCATCTGATTGTTAATCCATAGGTCGCTTGTTTCATCGTCGGAAAGTTATCTCTTTTTGAATATTATTTACTGATATGTTTGTTTTTTAATGTTTTATCATGTGTAAAACTTTAGGGCTCAAGTTTGCATATTGGTTTATTCTGTTTTAGTCTGTTAATGCAAATTAATTTTATCTGATGAGATTAGTATCGAGATCAAAAGATATTTTACTATAATTGAATTGAATAGATATTAACGAATTGCCACTTAAAATATGGCAACAGGAACTACACAAACATTCTACAAACATTTCAAAACTTATTTTTTGCTTACGTTTTCCAACCGTAAATTGTAAATTAAACACACTTCTTGTTTACATACCAAGCTTATATTTAAGCTAAATCCTCAAAAGATATTTTACATGCTAAAGTAATTAATTAAAATGGATTAAGCGGACATTGACAAACTAATGTTTAATTTTTTTCCAGGAAACAAGACAATGAGAAATATGCAACGTAATAAAATGTTACCTTTTTCTTAATAATAAGAAATTTTGTGTTTTCATCATTTTCATTTTTAAATGTTGAAATTTACTACAGCCGGTGTTAGAGGACGTGGACGGTAGCTTGCACTTTCCAGTACCGTCCATAAACAGGCTCAATCGAACCGAGCCTACAACATTTACCATTTAGCCGCGATGCGATGGCTGTTCTGAAGGAATTCTGTTTTCTCTATTGTACCGGTCTCCGTTATAAATTAAGTTATTGTCAGCATTGAGTGAAAACACTTTTTGTGTCACTTATTGGCCATCGTCCGATTCAAAATGTCACCAGAAGGATTAAAATATGATATGCAGCAAAAACGTTTCATTCCGCTTTTAGCTACAACGATAAGAAGACGAAGTTCACGTGTAAATGCCAGGTTTTCGGTATACGTAATCAGAAAAGTCTGACCATTGTCAATCCGTCACGTTTGCATTTTGTTTTGTGTAGTTTTTCAGCGATTTGTTTTTCGATTTTTTGTAGAAAGAAAATGCTGGACATATTCCTGTTTATGTTGATGTTATCTTGTTGAAAATAGACTAAATCATATAAGAACTACCGAAACAACAAAAATGTAGGTTTTTAATCATCTTTCGTAATTTTGAATTCCAATCGAGTTTCATATCATTACCTATATTGTAAGTTTTATACAGTATTGTTTTATTTTTTTTATTTATCATCCTTTTTAGTGTTCAAATGCAATGCCCTTTTATCAGTGAAGGACGGTAACAAAATTTTACAGTTACTACACCAAGGGTCGTGTGCGATTAAAAACAAAATTCGACGAAAAATCAACGGACGTTACAGTCATATCTCAATTTTAAAAAGTATTGGTTGGTATTGGTTCATCTTGCTTTTTCATAAAGTATCAATCATTCAAGTAATACAACAATGTACGTATATTTTTACATATTTGATAACACACATTTTATGTTACAAATAATGCATGCTTCTTTGATGGTAATTAACATATTTATAAAACAAAACATGGAGGGAAATAAAAGAATGTAGTCATTTACTTCTAATGAAAGAGCTTCGATTATTTGCAGCTTTATCAGTTCACAGTGATTGTAATCATAAATAATCGATGGTATTCTATTACATCTGAAATAAAGGTTAATAAAAAATAGGTTGTTTGAAACAACAACGCAATAAAGGGTAATTCAATCAAAATATCCTTCTTGTCGTTTAGTACAAAAGCTGCCAAACAGGCAATAAATCTTCACGTTTTGGTTATTATTTTGAAGGGACTTCAACAGAATCTACATGAGAGGCAATTATCCGGACGACGTAATTTCAAACTGTAATGCGATATAGGCTTTTTAACAAATAAACACTAAAAGTCTTCTTTTTATTTAAATCAGTACGTCAAATAATTCATTTTTTTCTTCTTAACAATTGAAGTTTATTGAACAGTAAAAATATAGTCAAATACACCAATTGATTTAATACCTACTATTTAGGTGAAACCTAATAGATTTTTTTTAAAAAAGGTTTAATAAAATATTGTACCGACCCTTTTAATGAAGCTTTAATAAAAAATTAATTCTTTTCTATAATAATTTTATCAAAGTTTTTTCAGTCATTGCAATACATTTTTATTGAAAAATTTGCATTCAAAAATGTAAAATGTCATTTTAAATTTTTTAAAAAATATTTTAATGTTGACCAAATCCTTTTAAATTTTCAATTTTGAAAATTTATAAAGACAAAGTTTAAAAAAAGGTTAAAGGATTCTTATGCATTTCATTTTTCAAGACAGAAAAGTCGCACCATTTATTTCTAATACGTTGATTTTCTTTTCTTTTCATTTTTCAAAAACTAAATGGCTTGAAAAGTCTCCTAATAGACAGTGTAATATGCCCGTCTACGAACTACTTTCAGAATATAAACAAATTATGCAAATGAGTTTATATGTGGAATGTAAGCTTTTTTGAAAGAAAACATTGTGAATTTGTCCTAGAGATTTTCATTATAAAAATATTTGTTTGGTTCAAAATGTATCTTGTTCCAACTAATCCCATTAACCCAGATTTTTCATATTTTATCTTTGTTTAGAAAATACTTAATCAAACAAAATACACGAAAGCAATGCAACAAATGAACACTAGTATTTAGTTACACCCCTTGTCCCCTTTTGTTCCCGTATCAGCCCCTTTTATTTGTTATCATTTCACTTATTACATGTCCCTCCCCATCTTTTACCGCCTTTTTGTCCCTTCCCGTTTTTGGTTCGGTGCCTTCTGGATGCCATGCTGCTGTGGCTGGATTAAGTTATGTGAAGGTCACCTTGCCGTGCTGTTGTTTGTTCTCATTTCATAGTCAGGTATTGTTCAGATATGTCATTTACAAGTAAGAAGTAAGCCGGTTTGTAGCAAACTACATAATTATGTCTTATTTACAACGTTTCATTTATAGTCAACGTCAACCTTTATTAAATTTTTAAGTAAAAATTGCAAACAAGCAGCTGTGTAA